GAGAGAGAGATTAAAATCAGAAATATTGTTTCATTGTTGAGTACAAATAGAAGGTAATTCCATTAATGACACCAGATAGAGTTACATGCCGTTCAAAAAATATTACACTATTCAGTATTCAAGATGATTGTCATTGATATTGCTCAACTACTCATGGTTATCATTGACAACCGCTCATGCCCGTATCCTTTTTTCCCCTCTCCTTGCATGATATTAATGACAGACCAAGACGGTTCAGAGATTAGTGAAACTAAATAGTTAGTACCTCAATATCGGCACTAAACTCACGAATAACCCCTATTGAAGAAACAAAAAAATCTTTATTTTTAACTTAGGAATCAAATTGTAACATCATGGCTTTTCTTCTTCAAGGATGTGTACGGATTTGATAGATGACTAGTAGAGGCAGCCACGGATTTAAGGGGGGGCTGGTGGGGGCTTAAGCCCCCCCCCAAGCCGCCGGAAAACCCCCTATATATAGGGGATTCCGGCGGCCAGCATGTACAAGAATGTTTTCTAAGCCAACAGTATTCCCTCTAACAACATGTTTCTATGTATTTAATCTGACTTCCCCTTCCTTCTTCCCGATCCCACTTTCCCTCGCTCCTCCCTTTCTTTCTCAGAGGTTGTTGAGATTGGGTCTATCTTTGTCTTTGTGTAAGATTTCCAGGTTGCATATGTAGTGGTATTTGTTGTTTTACATAGTGGTAGATGAATAATCTTCAATTCTTCAACGTCATTTATTACTGCTTGCTAAATAATAGGCTAAGCTGGAGCAGGAGAACAAGATAAAATATTTTACATGGAGATTTATTGTGGGGGAAAAAATTATCTTACAGCAGCCATCGATGTTTTTTTCCCCCTTATTTGCATAGCATGTCTTGATCCAAAAAGTTCTTTCTCTCAATTCAATGTGCAGAAACTACTCCGTCTTGCTGATTTATATCCTGAAAACTTCTCAAGTAACGATTATTTATATCTTGAGTCTCAACTTCGAAATTATATTTATAATGTGCAACGCGATCCTCAATTTTCAGAAGTTGGAGATTTGGGAAGTCTTGCTCAACAAATGGTTAAAACTGGTAAAAATACAGTTTTTCCATTGGTTTATCGTCTGATCCAGTTGGCATTAGTTCTACCAGTTGCGACTGCTTCTGTTGAAAGAGTATTTTCTGCAATGAATATTGTCAAGACTGATTTGCGCAACAAAATGGGAGACGAGTGGATGAATGACTGTCTGGTTGTATACATCGAGAAGGATATTTTTGCAACAATTGAAAATGAGCAAATATTGCAGCGTTTTCAACGGATGAAGACTCGCAGAATGCAATTGCCTCCTCTTCGTTATTCGAGTGCAACAACTACCAATACTTCAAATGTTAATCAATAACAAATTTTTGGGTTTGTATAATTATATGTTTTTATTATTTTTATAATTATTGATTCTAAATTTTACTTATTAAATATATTTATTTCGTCACAAAAAAAAATTTTTAATACACTTCAGCCCCCCCAAAAATAAATTTCTGGCTCCGTCCCTGAGTAGAGGTCATTAATAATAATAATAATAATAATAATAAAGCATTAAAAAATTATGGAAAAAATCCACTTTTCATCCTCAAACCTTGTGACCAAGACACATTTGGTCCCCAAACTTTTCGTCAGAATACATTGAGTACATGAATTAATGATTTTTTGCCACATTTAGTCAAAAAATGGGAATTTACTCAATTTGGACGGTGAAGACCACGTGGCTGTTAACAAATGTTCAAATATTCAATTTATAACCAACACAAGTTAGCTTTTTGTGGACAATACACAATTCCTTGAACAAGTTGTCCATTTTGGTGTTATTTTAAGTTCTTACTTAATGGGCATTACCTATTCAAAATACTAACTTTTGTGGACATTTTACTCTCAAACATTCAATTTATAATAAATATATAAATATTTTTAAATAAAATTCAAAAAGTGTTACAGTAATTTCTTACGAAAAAAAACTAGTAGGTTATCTATTTAACATAAATTAAATATTTTTTAAAAAAGAAATATCCCATAAAGTGCCAACTCTTTATGGTTTTTCTCTATTACATGAACCAAGTATCAGGTTTTTATGGGCATTTTATTCTGAATCATTTAATTTATGTTAAATACATAAATATTTGCAAATAAAATTCAAAAGGCGTTACACAAATATTTTTACGAAAGAAAAACTAGCATGTTTTGTATTTAATATAAATGAAATATTTGAAAGTAAAAAAATTTTTTCATAACATACCAGTTCTTTATGATTTTTTCCATTATATGAATAAAGTACTAGCTATTTATGAGCATTTTACTTTGAATCATTTAATTTATATTAAATACATAAATGTTGATAAGTGAAATTCAAAAAGTGTTACACTAATATTATTATGAAAGCAAAACTAGTAGATTTTATATTTAACATAAATTAAATACGTGAAAGTAAAAAAAGAAATTACCCACTTTTTACTAGCTCTTTACGGGTTTCTTCTATTATATGAATAAAGTACTAGCTATTTATAGGCATTTTACTCTGAATCATATAATTTATGTTAAATACATAAATGTTTGTAAGTAAAATTTAAAAAGTGATATACTAATATTTTTACGAAAGGAAAACTAGTAGGTTTTGTATTTAACATAAATTAAATACGTGAAAGTAAAAAAAAAAATTGCCCATAATATATCAGCTTTTTATGGGTTTCCTCTATTACACGAACAAAGTAATTTATGAGCATTTTACTTTGAATCATTTAACTTATATTAAATATACTGGATTGGAAAAATTTTGTTGAATCACTCCATTAACTCTGCTAATCTCAAGCAGCTTTTCACTTCATTAACTCGGTGAGAAAGGGGAAAACTTGGAGAAGAAAAGCAGTGGGTTAGAGAGAGAGTCAAGTGTGGATTTGTGTCTGACTTGTATTGGCTATAAATTGATATTTGGACATTTGTTAACAGCCATGTGGTCTTCACCGTCCAAATTGAGTAAATTTCCGTTTTTTGACTAAATGTGGCAAAAAATCGTTAATTCATGTACTCAATGTGTTCTGACGAAAAGTTTGGGGACCAAATGTGTTTTCGTCACAAAGTTTGAGGATGAAAAGTGGATTTTTCCCAAAAATTATTGAATAATAAGGATTCTTGAAGGGGCAAAAGCAGAGTACATCAGACGGATGGTGCTAGTTAAACTAATTAGGATTCAACAAATCTCTCCATCACATTAGATGATGTCAACAGCCCCAAACCTTGATTTGGCATCATTTTTTCTGTCACATGGTTCCTCGGTGTACCAAAGAATATACCTATAAATCCTCAAAAGAGGCCCAGAAAAACTATCCCTAATACGATATCAGATTTTACTCCAATAACTTGGATAAGTATCTTCTTTATTTGTTCAATATACTTACGCCAATTAAGCTTGTAATTTTAAAAAATAAATAACAACTAAAAAATAAAAGCCAAACAAAATATGGGCTTAATAGTTAATAGTCAAATAATCAATAATCACCAAAAATAGTAGTAGTATACAAGTAGTAGCAATGCTACTTTAATTCTCAGCTATTGCTGTTAATTAACTAAATAAAAATAGTACCCCTAGTTTTGATTGTCAATTTTTTGGAAATTTAACTTTTAAGAGTAGTGCGTTAACAGTAACAATGTTTTATATACTCCACTTTGATAGACCAAAATTCAAGTTTTGAAATGTATTTAACGTTGCCTAAAGGAAAACAAGAGGCAAGAATGCAAAAATGAGTAGTAGTTATGTTTTTTTATGCTAGCAATAGCAGTAGACGAATGGCTATTTAATTTTGGATAATGTTGTTGTTGACTTCTTGTTGTTGTTGTTTTTGTGCTATGCTTACATTGGTGGTGGTGGTTTTTTTTTTGGTGGGGGGGGGGGGGGGGGGGGGAGCTAAAGAATCGTTGTATTTGCTTGTTTATGACCCTTTAGCTATCAGTGTTATGAGTCCTTCCCTGAGCTCAAAGGCAAATAAACCTAAGGGGGCCTCCAAGTTCTAGTAAATTTGATTTGTCTCCCACAAATAATTGACAATTTTTTCTTAAATATTCTTTGAAATTTTATGCTTTTGCCAGTGCCAAAATTCAAAATTATTTTATGTTATTATACATAGATTTAGATGTATTAAAATTCGCCCCCTCAAAGTAAACTTTCTAATCCCATTCCAGCCTAAGCTATGCATATATATAGAGCAGAAGATAAAGCTACTTTTGTGCTGATAAACAATTTTGGGCATTCAAAAATGAGAAACACACACTTTCAAATAAGACAGAGAATATAGTGTATATGCATCAATCTAAGTTTAAGAGTACCTAATTTCTAAGATAGCGTAACTCGAGTATAGTTAAAGAAATTTGGTGACCTAGTAGACTCGAAGTCTAACCAAATACTTTAGGAGTAGTTGGCTACCAAGAAAGTTTTAAAACTCTATTTGAATGTAAATCAAGGGATCAAATCTTTTAATCTAAACCTGCATTCTAAATATCTTAACTTTTTTGAAAATTTCTCCAGCGGATGTGTAGGCCGTTAGTGGTTTAGTCTCTTTCGGATTTCCCTTTGATCTCTTTAGATCCCCTCTCCCCGTAATTTAGTAGGAGTAGGTGTAGAAACTCTCCATCCTTGAGGTTGTGGTTGTATTGATAGATAACTCATACAGATCACAAAAATAAGTTATTGAAGAATAAGGATTCTTGCTTGGGCAAAAGCATAGTATATTGAGACGATGGTGCTATCCAGATTGATCATTAAGGACTCTTGCTAGGGTACAAACAGAGTCAATTGGAACGATGGTGCTACCAAAACTGGTCGACTAATGAAACTAGTTTAGCCATAGCATGCTAATGTCTTACAATTGCTTGACCTTTGATCGATGATCAACAAATTGGGGCATGCAAAAATCTGAAGGATGGCACTTTTAATTGGAGGAAAGAAGTAATAGTAAAATGTACTACTCTTAATAAAGTCTTCGAAGTAACCTAGTTGGTTCAATGGGTTCCACCCAAACTAGTGGGTCATCAAAGGGTTCAATCTGTCCATCTTCAACATTGTGGACACCACCCATGTCCTTCCCACCCCCTTTTTCAGTCCAGGCTTCTATCCCATCATCAGTGAAGTAGTTGCAATTTGGCTTGACTATACTAGGAAATCTAGTGGCATCCATCGAGAATGCACCATCATGTCCAACAAAAATGGCCATATGCCCCAAATTACCAACTTTTTTCCATCCCCTCTTGATCAAACCCATCTGCATAACTCAGAAAATTATTAACAGATAGAGCCCCGTCACTTGCAACTATGAGTAATTCGCCTGCCGATTCCACTAGACGTGTCTGTCGAAAGTTGATCAGTTCCCTACCAACGTGACAACAACATTGAGCTACTGGAGGATCTAACATATCCCATACCCGAATTTGTCCTCCATAGGAGATTGCATATATTTTTCCTTTGTAATAAACAGCCTGGCTGAAGTAGACTGCAATTTGCGTTTCTATTCTTGTCCAAGTCGTGTCTCCAGGTCTCCATAACGAGAGAAATAAACCAGGACCTCCAACTACAACCACCGCAAAGTCTGATGTCTCCGAAGGACTTGCTGATGAAACAGCACTCACTACATTCAAGAAAGGAGAATCATTGAATTTATGTAGAGGGAATTTTGATTGATTAGGGAGTTCAATTTGAGCCCGTGAATAAGGGTACAACAAGCTCATGTCTCCTGAACGTGATATTGTGATCAGCCATCCTCTTGACTCGATGCATTTTTTGCCTTCTGCTTCGGGTAGCGGCATTCTTCTCCAAATCTTGCCTCTGAATAGCCTGTATAGTTTGAGATCATCAATGAGCAATGGAACTGGAGGCCATGACTTGAGAAAATCATCAACACTTGCAGCTGATCGCCATGAGGTACAGACCTCTAAAAGCCATAAAGTCTTAAATCAGTTGTATCCGTCTGGCTATTATGATTATCACATTGGGTCCGACCAATATGATTAGGTAGGGATTAGGTTATAAAATTTATAATGTTATAGTAATTTGGTAGTTAGATTAGGGTTATTATGAGTAGTTATAAAAGCAAAATATGATTAGATGATAAGTGTAAAAATTAATTATTTGTAAAGGTGAAATTGAAAGTTCAAAAAATGATCAAAATTGTTTATATCAACTGCTATACCTCTGATTTTATATATCATATGAATATCAATTGAGTATGTCGAGAAATTTCTAATATTATGATGATTTTTAAAAAAATTCATAAAGGGGGCATTTTGTGTATGGGATTTCTGTAAAAGGGGTGTTCGTATTTAGCAAATGCGAACTCTCCCTGAATTTTCCAACCACCGAAATACAAAAAAAAAAAAAAAAAAAAGAGGTCAAAGACCTCGCATTCAACAAATGCGAGGTCATTAACCTTACATTTCTTAAATGCGAGTTCCTCGCCCTAGAAGCCGTGCGTGTTTCATCACGCGAGTGATGAAACTGGAGCCAATATTCACTATTTATCATCTTAAGATTATTTCCAAGAACATGAATCTAGATTTTGCCATGATTTTTCTTTTTGCTTCAGTTGTAATGACATTTTCCCTTGCTTTATGATTGCACTGCAAATTATAAAATGATTTACAATTTGCAATGAAAATTTCTACAAATTTTACTACTTAAGGCTCTAAATTCATACCTAACTGGAAAAAAAAATCTCATAATATTGCCATCAATAATTGATAATAATTTGGGGCAATAAATCGTAACCGAACTAGTAGGCTTTCGGCTTTACTGTATCTAGCATCCGATAAATATTATGCCCAGAAAATTATATTCAAAATGTGCTTTTTTTTAAAATTAGGAGCAGACAATCATTTTTGTTTTTCCATTGACATTTATCATAGAGGAATAAATCCTTTAACTCACACGAGTTAGAAGTTAGCAAATGTGAGCTCCCAGTACAACATTTTATGTACTAGTAATACTTTGTATATAAATAACAAAAAAGTTATAGATTAAAAGATTTGATAATTATACGGTTGGAAACACCTAATTTTATTATTAAAACATTTTGTAAAGAAATAACTATACATGTATAGTTCTGCATATGGTTGGAAACAAACTCTGGCTTTGTGTTCAGATTGAGTACCTCATATTTGCAAAATGATTATTTATCAAATGATTATTTATCTTATAGATTACAAGATATACTTTGCCATAAATGTAAAAATTATAATCACATAATAATTATTTCCAAATTAAATGAGAAAAGATGAGAGCAAACCACATATATTTAATGCACCGACTAAGATATTTGACAAAAAATGTAGTTGTTTATTGTAATTTATTATGATTAATTTTTTTTAAAAAAATTTTTTTGACAAAGTCTCCCCTTAAAAGTGGCCTAAACTCTCTGCCAGCAAACCTAAAATAAACAACATTTAATCCAAGCAATATTTCCAGCAACGTGTCCAAATATTAAACATAAAACTACTAAAAGTACCACACATTTCCTCCCCCACACTTATAATACACATTATCCTCAATGTGTATTCTAAGAAAGGAAAGAAACACAAGAATAAGAAGAAAGTACTCCCTAGTGCAATGCCGAGATCCAGATCAGCCAAAAATCACAAACCACTACTCTGTGTTAAACATCTAACATTGCACAGATTAAAAACAAAATAAGATAGTGATCCAACATCCAACATTGCACAGATTAAAAACAAAATGAAAGAAAATCCATGCACAAATAAGATAGTGATCGTAATGGTGCAGCTTCAATCGTCATCTTCATCTGCACCACCACCCTGAGGTGCAGGAATGCCTAAATGATGCTCTATGTTTGCCAAGCGAGTGTCCGTCCTCTGTAACTGGAACTAAATATCTTCCAAGGTAGTGAAAAGCCGTGGCCAGTTGGATTGAGGACGATGCACCGGGGGAGGTGGTGGAGGGGCAGAGGTGGATGGACCAGCATCATCTCCACCATGCCTTACTTTAGAACGCCGCTCGATAAGTGGAGGAAGGAAAGCAGCCACGTCGATGCCCGTGTTCCGTAGCAAGGTAAAAGATAACTAGGTACTGGGGCGGATAACTTGTCGCTCAGCTCCAGCTAGATTAACCCCCATCCGTTCAAATACCAATGTGAGTAGTCGAGGGAAAGCTAGCTTGAAAGAAGTAGTCCGACGTCTTACTGTTGACCGTATATAGCTGATGATGATATTTGGCAACGAAATCTGAGCGTAAGAGGTCTCCCGATTGTGAAACATATAGTCCAAAAAACAGATATCACTCTTCCTGACCTCACTGTGGCCCGTCTTCTTGGGAATCACATTGTGCGCTATCATATAGATGATGAGATGATGTCTGACATCAAAAATTGTAGCAACAATCGTCTTCTTCCTCGATGAACGGAAAGGCTGGTACTGAAGACCGAACCTTGCCATAGCATGTGCCGGATCCCATCTTTTGTTTGGAGCAACGAAGCCTTTTTTCAAATCCACTGCAGGACCTTCGTCACGACAACCCAAAAAGGCTGGTAAACGCTGCCTTGACAAGACGATGCGTGCTTCTCGAACAAAGGACTCAACCTTTTCACCACTATGCTTCGCCTTGTTAATGATATTAGCATAAAATTCCAACACAAGCTCCGGATAGTAGTAATCGGGTAGTCGAAGAATTGGCTCCCAACCAAGTCGGTCAAATGCCTCCGAAATATGAAAGGCAGTCTCTACTTCGGGGCTCAGATGTTTTTCGAACAAGAACTCCAAGTTGGCATGTGTTTCATACCACTCCTGGTGCTGCAGAGTGGAAAACTTTGCGCTATCAAATATTCGTGGCTGTCGTGCAGTTCTCCCTTATAGACGTCTAGGAGCAGGTACAGGCGAAGGAGATCGTGCTTCCTCTCCAATTTCTTCACCTTCGTTACTAGGGTCCAAGTTTTGTTCAGCCTCCTCACTGCTAGAGGAAGAATAAACAGTTTGTTTTTTTTTTTCTTGCCATAGTACCTAAAAACAAATAAATCCAGCAACCCATAAATCAATATGGCAGATATTGGACACACCGTGAATAATGTATATTGACAAATCAAAAACAGCTCAAATAACCTTACATGCATATCTCTAGTTCACGAAGAATCAATTAAATATTCAACAAGATCCAACAATAGAGATATTATCGTAAAGTTGCAAAAAATAGCCAAAGTCACCAATTTGATCAAATTATGTAACAATTATATCACAATCAATGAAATTAGGATTAATCATGATTATAGCAAGCAATAATTAACAACAATAACACGTAAATAGCTGTAAATATGGTTAAGCAAAAATTATCGTTATGACTCACAAATTCAACCAAAGTGCTCAATATACACGATGCACATACTAAAATATCATCAACTAAGCATTATTAACCATACCGAATGATCACTAGTAGGTTAAAAACATCGTAGGCAAATTTTCTAATTTTAACCAAATTTGAACTCATAATCTAAAACCACCAATAAACCAACAAATAGAGAACATTTGAACTTGTATACATGTTTAGATAACCTTAATCAGCATAAATGAGGCCAGAAACATCTATATACATCAGCAAAAATTTGAAATTAAAAGATGTCAGAAAGCTCAGGAAATTGAAAATTATGAATTTCGAAAATATGAATATTCGATGAAGAAACTTACCTCAATCACGTAGAAGGAAGTTTGATGATTCTAAATACGTAAAAAGCCCTATGAAACAATTTGACCTCCAATTGAAGAACTTAGCGAATGAAAACTCTAGCCTTCAATCCCTTGGTTACCGAATTTTGAGGTGTTTGTGATGGATTTCAATCGGTTAGAAAGGTTGTATGATACTCAAAAGGTGTTGGGTTGATAGTTTTAGTAAGATTACGTTGCCAAAATGAAGATTTGGAAATTGGGTGAGTTTGGAAGAGAGAAAACACGAGGAAGAAGAAGAAGAAGAATGCTGAAGGAACTGACCACGTCTGCATTTTTATGGTCGAGGACTCAAAACGCGACTATAATACACGATCTCATTCTCGCGTATTTGTGGTCGCGTTTTATTCTTTGAGGCCGCAGGTTGTAATACGCGACGAGACAATACGTGACCACATGGTCGCGTATTGTGTGGTCGCGCTTTCTTCTTTGCGACTGTAGCGTGTAATACGCGAGAACATAATACGCGATCACATGATCACGTATTATGTGTCGCGTTTGCTTCTTGTTAGCCACTGATTGTAATAGCGGGAACGAATACGCTACAGCAATAACGCGTATTATGGTCGCGTTTTTCACTTTTTTGCAGTTTCTGCAGATGCTCATACACAAATAACCTTTTGACTATTAACTCCAAAATCAAGGAGTGCATTTTAAAGCACTTGTCTAATAATTTGTACCTTACACATGCAAAATGATAAATACATGCATTCTACCCCTTTTTAGGAGATCAAAAACACCTTTAACACAAATCGACCAATTGAGTTGATGGGTCAAATTTCGCCTTTTCCACCTCAAATAGTCATCTTCACCTCCGGATTATCAAACCTACAACACAGCTGTTGAACATTCCAGCTTAAACGCATGTATTAAACAAAAAATCATAGCAGATTAATAGATGTAACTTAAAATAAGGCCGGAAAAACCTCATATTAGAAATTTTGTATGTATAGTCCTTGGCTCGACTCAAGGTTTCGGATTCTTAGTTCAAGAAGAATCTGTCATCCATTTCAGTCTAGGGTTCGGATTCTTAAGAGAAAAGACGTCACTGTATATTTTAAGGAAAGTTTCTAATTTTCCTAAAAAAAATGATGCATAGGATATGCATGATTAATTTGAACTGCTAATATTCGGCAAAATGATGAATATAAACAAAAAAGTAATGAATATAAAAGTATATAACACTGAGTTAAATATTCATACAAGTACTACACAATTAGAGTTTTGAATATCAA